ATTATAATAAAGTCAAATTGATAAATTTATTTGCCAAACGTGTGGCTATCTTAATATTCAATTAACTCTCAGACACTAAAAGTATATAAACTTAAGAATACTATATTCATATACGAGAATTAAAACTAACTTAAACTAGTTCATTTATGGTTCTATAAACCATCACGAAATACTATAATTCAGAAAGACTTTCCAACTAAGAAAAATGAATTAAATTTATTACACTTCAATGTTCCATTCCAAACGCCATTATATAAATGTCTTATTATCTGAGTACAGCTAGGTTCATGTCTCGTTGTGCGTACTCTGGAGAATTATTTAACCATTTTGCGTAAAGATAAGGTGATGTGATTGATAATGAAATCCATTAAGAATAATTTTAATTTACTTAAAACTAATTACAAATTATTTTCTCAAGCTTTTAAAAATATTATTATCTAATGTATGTAAGACCATTTGAGAGATAATGTCGCTTCAATCCATTGGAACATTCGATAGGAATTGGTCTGTTTTTTGTTCATCGGGTCCTTCAATTTAGGATTAAAAAAATAAACATATGTACATTTTTTAAGGTCCATAAATACATGATTTGAGAACCTTGGTTCTCACTCTTGAGTTTCCCTATACACATGTTATATATTAAATAGCTTTTCCTTCTGAAAGATGATGGTGATTAAGTAACAACGTGTCTCACCCTTTTAATATTAGAAATTGATGTTAAATAATGTTATCAAAATAGCATAAGAGATTTTTTAGATATTTAAAACAAATTTGTGAGTAAAGAGTGGTAGATTTAATCGAGATTTGTATTCATTTATATATTATAAATTGGTTTTATTCTAGTTGATATGAGATTTTTATCACAGTTCCTTGTATCAAGGTATATAGATATATATCATCTTAAGATGTTAACTTTAAGTCTAACTCAACCTCACTAAATCGGTTTATAAAATAAGATTTGCACTTATTTATATATTATAAATTAATTTTATTTTTGATTGACGTGAAACTTCTAACGATATTCACAAAACTGATTTATAAAACAGATTTATAGGACAAAATTTCCATCATCTTGTATATTCTAAATTTACTTAAATATGAAATTTTCAACCAACTTATCGAAAAAGTATAAAGTTTTTTAATATAAAATGTTTTTTATTTTAAATTGGTACACAGATACTGTGTGGATGATATCAGTAAAAAATAAGAAAAAGAAAATGACGTGTTACGTTCGTTGGTCGAATTTTTTAAGTCCACGTTGTTGTCATGTCAAGAAGTGGCGACACTAACGCATTTAGAAAGCAGCCAACTCATACGTCTTCGCAGCGAGGGAGCTACGTACCAAACGCGTGAGCTGTACAAACTAAAATGCCAGTCAGTGACTCACTGACGGTGGTCCAAACAAAAACTCCCTAACCCTATTCTCTTCTCTTCTTCCTCTCTCTCTCTCACCGTAATTAATAATCCCACTATTAATTATTAATTAATTAAACAAAAAGCCGATAATAATAGTAACATTATTCGGATACAGCTCACCCCACCATACGCCTCCTTCTGCCGCAAGCTTTCTGTTCTCGCTATTTCCACGCTCTCCCGAGGTTAATCTCGTAATTTCGGTGACAAAATAAAGCTTGGAGTTATTTATTATTATTTTTATACTTGTTTACAGAAAAGAGGAGTATATTAATTAATATTTATTATTATTTATTGAATTCGAAGAGAACACAGACAGAGAGAGAGAAAGAGGAGTGAAAAGGTGATGGTTTTTGGAGCTTCTGCAACGTCTTGCTTTTTAAGAGCCACCTAATTCCGAATATCTCAGCCCAACCAGCCACCACCATTGCCTCCGCCACCTCTAACTCCACCTCCGCCGTCACACCTTTTCTTATAAAATCCCAATCCCTATATCTCACCATTCTCTCATTGCAGCAGAATCAGCTCCTCGCATTTTTTCATTTTTTTCCGGTAAGTCGATTTTGCCCTCGCCGGTGCTTCTTCTTCCAGTGAATCATCCAATGCTGTTGCTTACTTCTTACTGTTTTCTTTTGCGTTGTTTTTTTTGTTAAAAAAGTTTGTGCGCTCTGATAATTCTTACTGTAATAAAACTCTCTTGCTTCGTTTCTCTTCGAGTGCGTTTTATTTTTATTACTCGCCATTGCGGCGATTTTTCTTGACTTTTCAATTTTTGTCGGTGGCTCCAGTTTGTGCTCGGAGCGCTTCCAGTTCTCCTTTAGCTCAGTGTTACATCTTCCTTGTTACTAAATTAGAAACAACGAAGTTGCAGAGTGTCCAATTCCGCCATTCATTTCCGAAAATTTGATTCAATTTTTTCTCAGATTTATTGTTTCCGTTTTCAGGAAATATTGACTAATTTGGATCTAATTTCGACTTTGTAATTTGGATTTGAATTAATTGGTATTAAATTGTTGCAGTTTATTCTGGAGTTTGAGCTCGAGTTGCTTTAAATATTCCAGAGAAGAGTTTTATAGTGTTGTGGCTGGTAGTTGTGTTGGTTCTCTTTGAGGATGATTTTTTTAACCAAAGGACTAAGGTTCTTTTTATTTTTGTTTAAAAAAAAATTCTGAAGAGGAAATGCATTTTTGTTCGAGTGTTCGGTTGTGTAATATCCTGGAACGAAAATATGTGAAGAGCTATGGTTAGATCTTGGAGATCGCGGTTACCATCATTGGTTTATGTTTGCTACTGTGTGAATGAATGCATTAACATCACAAATATAGTGACATGAGTCAATCGGGGACCCAAAATTGGTGCCAAATTATGAGCAATCTACAATTTGGCCTTGCCCTGTTGCACTGTTCGCTTTTGGTGTTGTGTCCTGTGTGCTTTCTATGGCCACCGACACTACCGACGAGTGCATATACCATATATACTTTATGTAGTGTTGAAAATGGAAGTCACTTGTGTGATGGTATGTTGTGGCTTTTTGTGAAACGGTGGGATGGTTGAGTATTCGGTTTCAGTTACTGTTTGGTGTGTAATAATATAGCGTGTAGGAAAGTAGCAGTACCCACTGGTTAAAAAACGGAAAAAGGAAAGTAAAAGAAAAGAAAACTTGCTGTTGGTTATAATTTCCACTGTTTTCGATTATAAGGTGTCCGTACTTTTCAATGGACCGACGCTGGCCATGGAAGAAAAAATCGTCGGACAAGGCTGTGATGGAGAAAGCAGCTGCAGAATTGGACTCTGCTGCGGATGCTGCCAATCAGGTATGTATTTATTGTCGGTTCACTAGAGCAAAGAACTAGTAGTTTCTAACATTTCTGATCGAGGAAATTATCCTGTATGTTTTTTTCTCACCTTCTTGACTCACGTGATTATTTTTAGTTTTAACGAGTGGAAAATGTCCAAATTGGTCCCCCACCCCGAAATAGGGGACAGTTTGATCCCTGTAAAAAATAAAATTCTATTTAGTCCTTCAAGATTTCAAACATGGGATGCTTTAGTCCTTTTGCCCATTTGAGTTAACTTTTACAAGGACAATTTGAGTCATTGATTATTTTGTCAAGGACTAAGTTAGTACAGGATTAACTTCTTTAAGGACTAACCATATGTTTACAAGGAAGAGAAAATGACTGAAGAACTAATGTGCCCCACTTTTGTTATCATTCTTGAAGGACTATATGATTATTCTTTTTAAGGGACTAAATTTTCTACTGTTATTTTTTTCAAAGGATGACTTTGGACATTTACTCATTTAGCCATTAGATTTGTCTTTAATTTGTTTCAAACTTACATATGATATTTGTTTTTTTGGTAAACAAGAAGCCGAGCTACGTCCAAATATCAGTAGAGTCATATTCTCATCTGACTGGTTTGGAGGATCAAGTGAAGGCATATGAAGAAAAAGTTCAGACACTGGAGGATGATATCAACAAATTAAATGAAAAACTGTCTGCAGCTAATTCGGAGATAAATACAAAGGAAAGCCTGGTAAAACAGCATGCTAAAGTAGCAGAAGAGGCTGTCTCAGGTATACTGCTGCAATGGTTCCTATTTAAAAATATTCAAAAGCCTTATTAAGCAGTGCGTCTTTTTTTTCTTGGAATTAATATTCATTGAAACCCTTCAGGCTGGGAAAAGGCTGAAGCAGAAGCTTTGGCTTTGAAGAACCATCTGGAGTCTGTCACTCTTGCAAAACTCACTGCTGAGGATCAGGCATCACAGTTAGATGGTGCGCTTAAAGAGTGTATGCGACAGATAAGAAACCTAAAGGAAGAACATGAACAGAAATTACAGGAAGTTGCTCTCACAAAAACCAAGCAATTGGACAAGATTAAGGGTGAGCTGGAGGCAAAGATAGCAAGCTTTGAACAGGAACTCCTCAGGTCTGCTTCCGACAATGCGGCTCTGTCAAGGTCCTTGCAAGAGCGTTCTAACATGATAATCAATTTAAGGGAAGAAAAAGCTCACGCTGAGGCTGAAATTGAGCTTCTTAAGGGCAACATTGAATCATGTGAAAGAGAAATCAATTCACTCAAATATGAGGTTCATGTTATTGCCAAAGAGCTAGAGATTCGCAATGAAGAAAAGAATATGAGCATGAGGTCTGCAGAAGCTGCTAACAAGCAGCACATGGAGGGTGTTAAAAAAATTGCTAAATTGGAAGCAGAGTGCCAAAGATTACGTGGTCTTGTGCGGAAGAAGTTACCTGGTCCAGCTGCACTTGCACAAATGAAGCTAGAAGTCGAAAGTCTTGGTCGAGAATACGGAGAAACTCGATTAAGGAAGTCTCCTGTCAAACCTCCTGGTTCTCACATGTCTCCTATGCCTGGGTTTTCCCTAGATAATGCTCAGAAATTCCACAAAGATAATGAATTTCTTACTGAGCGTTTGCTGGCAATGGAAGAAGAAACAAAGATGCTGAAAGAAGCTTTGGCAAAACGTAATAGTGAACTGCAGGCTTCAAGGAGTATGTTTGCGAAAACTTTGAGCAAACTTCAAAGTTTGGAAGCACAGGTTCAGACAAGTAATCAGCAGAAGGGATCTCCTAAATCCATCATAAATGAAAGCATTTACAGTCAAAATGCAAGCAATGCACCAAGCTTCATCTCCATGTCTGAAGATGGAAATGATGATGTGGGAAGTTGTGCCGAGTCTTGGTCTACAGCAATTCTCTCTGATCTTTCCCAATTCCCTAAAGGAAAGAATACTGAGGAATTGAGCATATCTGATACCACTAAGAAGTTGGAACTAATGGATGACTTTCTGGAGGTGGAGAAGTTGGCTCGATTATCAAATGACTGCGGTGAAGTTTCAGGTACTTCAAACAATATAGCAAACGAAGCTGTGACCGATGAAATATCAGAAGTCAGCACTGGGAAAGATGTTCCCTCTGACTCCCAAGAGAATAGTGATCCAAATCCACTGCCAAGTGAGGTGTCTTCTGCTGAGGAGATATCAGCACCTGATCCCCAATCTGATGTTCCTAGCTTGTCGCTAGCAGAGCTTCAATCAAGAATATTATCAGTTTTCGAGTCCATGGCTAAGGATGCTGATATGGAGAAGATATTGAAGGATATTAAACACGTTCTTGAAGATGCATATGGCGTTTCAATCCAGGACTCTGTATCTGCCGTTCCCCATGATGTCACGCCTTCTGATATTACGTGTGATAAGCAGGGTAACGCTGAAGATGTTGCCTTAAATGCGGAGAAAAAAGTTATTTCATCCCAGCAACCTCCAGAGTATGTTCAGATAACTACGGATCTAGAAGCCGCAATGTCTCAAATTCATGACTTTGTATTGCTCCTCGCCAAAGAAGCAATGGCAGCGCATGATATATCTTCTGATGGAGATGGAATAAGCCAAAAGATGCAGGAGTTCTCTGTTACTTTTAACCAGGTTACCTCCAATGAAGAAAAATTGCCACAGTTTGTTCTGGACCTGTCTAGTGTTCTAGCCAAAGCAAGTGAATTCAGATTTAATATTCTCGGTTACAAGGGTACGGAAGCAGAAACCAACAGTCCTGATTGCATAGATAAGATTGCTCTGCCAGAAAATAAGTTAGTTCAAGACGATTCATCTGGGGAGAGATATCAAAATGGTCACTCCCATATTCTTAATCCCTGTTCCGATCCTGAAATTCCTGATGATGGAAATTTGGCCTCAGGCTATGAATCAAATGCCACGCAGAAGTTCTCAATGGAGGAGTTTGAAGAATTGAGGTTAGAGAAAGAGAAGGCTATTGCGGATCTGTCAAAATGTGCTGAAAATCTTGAACAGACAAAGTCTCGGTTACTAGAGACAGAGCAACATCTAGCTGAAGTTAAATCACAGATGGCTTCTGCTCAAAGAGCAAATAGCTTAGCTGAGACACAGCTAAAATGTATGACAGAATCGTACAGGTCAATTGAAACACGTGCAAGGGAGTTTGAGACTGAGCTTATTCATCTGCGAATGAAGACAACAACTCTGGAGAATGAACTAGAAGATGAAAAGAAGGCTCATGAAGCAGCTTTGGCCAAACACAAGGAGCTAGAAGAACAACTACAAAGGTTAGAGATTGAAGTACTGAAGTTACACATTGACATGCTTTCAAATATTTTGTGAATGTCTCGTGCTGCTTCTAATTCTGATTGCTAATTTTCCATGTTAATCTCTGTCAGGATTGAGAGCTCAGCTGCTGATAATGACATAAAGGCTAAGCAGGTAAAGCTGTAATCCCATTCAAATACTTGAAAATATTATTAAGTTGGAGAACCTTTAGATCTAAGTCTTACTTTCACAATTTTTTCTACAAATACTTATAGAAGAAAAAAAATCAAAATGAATTGAACTTCTTTCATAAGCTAAAATAAGCTTATACACCTCATCTTTTGGAGAATTTATGATGGAATTTCTACACAAGTTATAAGTGCATTAGTTGAATTTAGCTTACAAGAAAAACTCATTTTATTTTGGTCTCTTACAAGGGTTTACTGAGAAGTTTATACTCATAATATGTAACATCAAAATAGGCATCTCAATCTAGGATTCTTTGTGATGAGTAGGCAATCTAAGATTGAATTTTTTCCTTTATCATAGGAGAGAGACTTGACAGCCGCTGCTGAAAAGCTAGCCGAGTGTCAGGAAACCATATTTCTTCTTGGCAAGCAGTTAAAAGCTCTGCATCCTCAAACAGAGCCAATGGAATCTCCTTATTCAAAGGCTGAAAACTTCACGGAGCGTGAACCTAATAGCCCAAGTTTACAAGATCAAGCAGAGATGGACAGTGCTACTTCTACATTTGTGCAAAGATTGGATGGAGATTCCCCTTTACATTTTAGCAACAGTTTATATAGTCCATCAGATAACGAGACAATCTTTCCAGCCATATCTTCTGTACAGAATCCAAACCAAAGGCCTACCAAGTCATCCTCATCATCAGCTTCGTCCACTCCAACACCAGAAAAACACACCCGAGGTTTTAGAAGGTTCTTTTCTTCAAAAGGTAAAAACGGTCATTGAGCATGAAGCATGCATGACCGATGGGAATTCGTGATTCAGGGAGCCACACAGCAACAATGACATTTGGAAAGCATCAAGGTTCAATCCCCTTCATGATTAGACAGAATCGAGTTTTTGGGAGGTTTATCTAGTTAAAACACAACAGAATGCAATGGTTATTGGGTGGTTCTTGTATTTAATGGGTGTACATGGTAAACATATGTTTTTCTTCTTTTCCTTTCCATTGTTTTACTCCCTCTGTTCTGTAATTTCATTAGCAAACATTGACATAGCCTCTGAACTGTTACAGGATATGTTGAATATTGTTGTATTTCAGAAATTTATGCAGCATACCTTCATTCTTTATCAACAACAATAGATTAGTGATTTTTCATGTTGTGATAACCAGTGTCAGAAATGACAATGATTTCAGCCAATAAAACAGAAAACTAAAATAAGTTTTTCTTTCCTCTAATGTATCTATTGGGAATAAAGGTTCACTACTGTCAACAAGAGACAGTAGTCTTGTATTTTTCAGTTAGTTATTTTTGTACCGTTGGTTTACAGTTTTGTTTGTTTACTGTTTTGGGTTTACAGAAGCTCTATAAATAGAGCTTCTATGTTGCAGTTTCGAGTGACGAAAACAGAGCACGTAATACTTTGAAACACATCAAAATAATACAAGAAAGAGTTTTTCTTACCTCTCTCTCTATCCTCTCCATTTTTGTCTTCATCATCACCTCGAACAGTGGCCTCCTCCGTCGCCGGATCGCTCCCGAAGCAGCTCCCGAGACGAAGCTTCTCGACGCCCTAATCTCGCTTCTCCCTCAGGTTTCTCGTGGTTTGTTTCTGCCACGCTGGAAGTCACGATGCTTGGCAAATACCAAGCCGCATTGGACTGGGCCATACACACTGGTTTAAGTGCACAGTGTTGGGCCGTTTGTAAAAGTATCAAAGGCAGTGCAGAGATAACGTCTCTTCTCAAATTTCATACCCATCCCATCATATTGGTACAGGGAAGACTCTAAATTCTAATAAATCACTAATATGTTTAAAAAAAAACATGCTTGAGAATGAGTCTCTAAGAGCATGTAAAAATGGCTTTCCCACTGGTTCTTAGGAAAAAAAGATTGAAATGGGCCAACCCTACCCCGTCAGATTGATCAAATGGTAAAAAATGGTGACTTGGAGGTTGACTGAATAAGGTTAAATTGGTCCATTTATTTATTTACTTTCTTAATTTATATTTATTTAAATTGGTTTAATACTCTTAATCTGTGACACTCTGATCAAATTAGCACAATACTTTCAAATTATTCCAACATTTCTTACATTAAACTTTTCAAATTCCACCTTACTTCGGACAAAACACCAAAATGAACTTTTAAATATTCCAGTGCAGGAGAAAAAAAACCTTCGATAAAGTTAATAGAAATCCTTTCCTTTAAAATTAAGTTAAAATAACTTATATAGTATTTAAATAGAGTATTTAAATATATATATATATGCTATATATAATACTTTATTTAAATTCTATTAAAAAATAACTTAGCATGGATGATTGAAACCTAAATGACCTATTTCAGGAAGACAAAAAAGCCGCTGTTAAATATTGAACTTCCATTACACTTGCGAATTTTGTGAAGGGCAGCATCGTCCTTTCGATCAGTTCTGTACCTCGTAATATTCCAACTCGCGCGAGCGCAGTGGAGGAATCAGTGTTTACTTGTTTCGCATATTCTTCTTCCTCTGCGTTTATATTTGAGAGAGAAGTGAATTGGATAAGAGACTTTCGCTTTCGGCAAATTGAATCTGAGTTCGCGACGGAAAGATGGGAGTCCCAGCCTTCTACCGGTGGCTGGCCGAGAAGTATCCGATGGTGATTGTGGACGCGATCGAAGAGGAACCAGTCGTCATCGACGGCATTCAAATCCCGGTCGATACGAGCAAGGAGAACCCTAACAACATCGAATACGATAACCTCTACCTCGACATGAATGGCATCATTCATCCCTGCTTTCACCCCGAGGATAGGGTAGCTTTTATCCTCCTTCTTCAATCTCACTGCGAATTCCTCTCAATAACTTATTTATTTGGTTGATATTTTATTGAATTTCAAGCATGCGAGTTTGACGATGATTACGCGTTGTGTGTTTCGATGCAGCCTTCTCCGACGTCGTTCGATGAGGTGTTTGAGTGCATGTTTGACTACATTGACAGGCTGTTCGTTATGGTGCGGCCGCGGAAGCTCCTCTACATGGCTATTGGTGTGTGTTTTTTGCTTCGTTTTTATTATTTGTGATTTGTAATTTGTAATTGTGTTGTTTATGTTGCTGGTGGGGCTTATTTGCTATGTTTGGTTTGACTTGATGTAGATGGTGTTGCGCCGAGGGCGAAAATGAACCAGCAACGGTCTAGGCGGTTTAGGGCTGCGAAAGATGCAGCTGACGCGGTATGTATTTTGGTCATTGGTAATTTTTTTAATCCTTAGTAAGGTTTTGTGTGGTTCTGGATTCTTTGGGTTTCGTTATAGACTTCATTCTTTCGTGTTTCTTATAATGTAGCAAGGAAATATTATTTGAACAACAGATTTTACGACTAATAGGGAGAAAGAAAGAGAGAAGTAAAAGATGTAACTAATGATGGAGAGATAGAAACAAAAAGTGACGTTGTATGAATAACATATCTCTAGCTAGCAATTACCTTGGATTCTGTGTGAACGTACTCTCTTGGCTGTTATCAACAATTAGGTTGAATCAATTGCATACCACATTGGTGGGTAATTGAAAGCTTGAACTTAGAGGTTGTACGGTTACTCATATATATAGTTCATACTCTGGTATTCGTCTCAAGTATTTAACCATTAATCAACACACTTTTCATTTTATCATAATTTTGTGGCATGCTACATGTACTGGTCAAATATTTCTTGAATTGGGTGGTAGGGTTATTCGGATAAAATGCAAGTTTTCTTGTATCTGAGTGGGGTGGCTACTGCTAGTGATTCTTGCTTTGCTCCCTTCCTTTGAGGTTAATGTTGTAACTTTCTTATGTAGGAGTAGAAATATGCTGGGTAGATGAGGCTTTGTTAGGTTTCGACTTGAAATTTAAAAAAAAAAATAAAGCTTGAGCCTCCTGACATATTTAATTGTTATAGGTCTTTTGAGAAGACCTTGGCTCACTTGTCTAAAAATCTTGTCTGAACTATGAGCCTGTTTAAAAGCCTATTTTGCTTTATTGTATTAAAAGGTCTTTAAAAGGCTTGTGGATTTATTGCATTATTGGTCTGAATAAGGTCATTAAAAGTTTCAATTTTCTTATATTATTATGCAATATATGCTTTGCTGGCCTTATTATATATANCATCCCTGCTTTCACCCCGAGGATAGGGTAGCTTTTATCCTCCTTCTTCAATCTCACTGCGAATTCCTCTCAATAACTTATTTATTTGGTTGATATTTTATTGAATTTCAAGCATGCGAGTTTGACGATGATTACGCGTTGTGTGTTTCGATGCAGCCTTCTCCGACGTCGTTCGATGAGGTGTTTGAGTGCATGTTTGACTACATTGACAGGCTGTTCGTTATGGTGCGGCCGCGGAAGCTCCTCTACATGGCTATTGGTGTGTGTTTTTTGCTTCGTTTTTATTATTTGTGATTTGTAATTTGTAATTGTGTTGTTTATGTTGCTGGTGGGGCTTATTTGCTATGTTTGGTTTGACTTGATGTAGATGGTGTTGCGCCGAGGGCGAAAATGAACCAGCAACGGTCTAGGCGGTTTAGGGCTGCGAAAGATGCAGCTGACGCGGTATGTATTTTGGTCATTGGTAATTTTTTTTAATCCTTAGTAAGGTTTTGTGTGGTTCTGGATTCTTTGGGTTTCGTTATAGACTTCATTCTTTCGTGTTTCTTATAATGTAGCAAGGAAATATTATTTGAACAACAGATTTTACGACTAATAGGGAGAAAGAAAGAGAGAAGTAAAAGATGTAACTAATGATGGAGAGATAGAAACAAAAAGTGACGTTGTATGAATAACATATCTCTAGCTAGCAATTACCTTGGATTCTGTGTGAACGTACTCTCTTGGCTGTTATCAACAATTAGGTTGAATCAATTGCATACCACATTGGTGGGTAATTGAAAGCTTGAACTTAGAGGTTGTACGGTTACTCATATATATAGTTCATACTCTGGTATTCGTCTCAAGTATTTAACCATTAATCAACACACTTTTCATTTTATCATAATTTTGTGGCTTGCTACATGTACTGGTCAAATATTTCTTGAATTGGGTGGTAGGGTTATTCGGATAAAATGCAAGTTTTCTTGTATCTGAGTGGGGTGGCTACTGCTAGTGATTCTTGCTTTGCTCCCTTCCTTTGAGGTTAATGTTGTAACTTTCTTATGTAGGAGTAGAAATATGCTGGGTAGATGAGGCTTTGTTAGGTTTCGACTTGAAATTTAAAAAAAAAATAAAGCTTGAGCCTCCTGACATATTTAATTGTTATAGGTCTTTTGAGAAGACCTTGGCTCACTTGTCTAAAAATCTTGTCTGAACTATGAGCCTGTTTAAAAGCCTATTTTGCTTTATTGTATTAAAAGGTCTTTAAAAGGCTTGTGGATTTATTGCATTATTGGTCTGAATAAGGTCATTAAAAGTTTCAATTTTCTTATATTATTATGCAATATATGCTTTGCTGGCCTTATTATATATATAATTATGCATAATCAATGTATGAATTGATCTTTCAATAACCTTATGAGTTTGACATTTTATGTCGCTTAACTAGCATAATTATTAAGAAAGGTATATATATGATTTTAAGACACTATAATAATAGTACCATAAAAAATGACTATTTAAAAATGCTGCCATGTTCATCCTAAAAGGCTTTTTGAATGTCCTGATGTTTGATGTTTTCGACCAAATAGACTTTTTTTTTTTTTAAATCCAGGCCTGACCTAAGTTTTAAAAAGGCCTGGTCTACGCCTGATGTAAGCCAATGGTAGACTCTTGTGGGATAGCCTTACCTATTTTCACCCTTAGACTTATGATACTGATGTTTATGTGAGCGACTATAATCTGTCAAGAAAATGGTGAAATATCTGATAAGATATGTAGATATGATTTCTGCTTATGTTTGCCTGTTTTTCTATTTTGTGATAGGCTACTGAAGAAGCAAGGTTAAGGGAGGAATTTGAGAAGGAGGGTAGAAAGCTTCCTCCTAAAGCAGAGTCACAGACGTTTGATTCAAATGTCATTACACCTGGAACTGAATTTATGGCTGTTTTGTCAATTGCACTTCAGTACTATGTTCATCTTAGGTTGAACAACGACCC